CTGATTAGTCTTGAAGGTGAAATTTGTGGCCAGTTTTGAGCTGCAGTTAGTCACAATACAAATATTCAGAAACTTCATTTAGCCTACTTTTGAGTTAAAAATTTAATCCCTTAAATCACTGTTGCACACACCTGTAATTTAAGAATATCTCAGCTAGTTTGCCTTGTAATCCATGTAGTTACTGGATAATAAGCTATTGAATACAGTAAGTCTTTGATTTTAAGGCAAGTTAAACAAAATTCCTGTGCATTCAATGTGCAAATTATATTGTCTTTGTTTAATCTCTTACACTGAAAATGCACATATAAAGATCCACACTGTCATTATGAACATATTAGCTTCTGAATTAATAAATTACTGAGTCTTAAGATTAATAGCAGAGTATAAACCTGCAGTTGAAGAAGTTAACTAATCTGTTACTAAATTTATTATTAATTACACATAAATTTAAGTGGTTAAAAAACTATACAGTTGTGCTGTGTTGGCTCATGTACATTGTGTACAAGTTCAATATGTTCAAACCAGTCTGTGCTGAAATGTTATACTAAAAGGAGCTGGCTGTCGGAATAAAGTCTCATCCTTATCAAATGGAACAATCAGCCTTCTGTTATGTTTTGGTTCTGTTTATCCTAAATCTCTCATTTGTCATCATCTCTATTTAGCAGCTGTGAGCAATATTTTGCTTCTGTTCTGGAATTCACACAACAAACAAACAACCCTGAACCCCCAAACACACCCCCACCTCAACACACGCACACAAAACACACACACACAGACACACACGTGCACACACACACACACACACACATACATGCACACATTTACACATTTACATGCACACATATATACACACACTCATATACATAATGCTTGTTTCTGTAAATTTTGAGGACATTACATAGGCTTTCATTTTCAGCCTTAAAACATGTCTTCACCTTAAAATTTAATAGTCTCCACAAGGAAGAAAGGTCCCCACAACGTGAGTACATAGACGGGTCCCCACAATGGTGCATAAACCTGGTACACACACACCTACACCCACACAAACACACACACCCACACACATACACATCCCCACACACACACTCTTACACAAACACACACGCGCTCACACACACGCACACACACACACACACACTCACCCACAGATGACTTCTGGGTTTTGTAGCATCAGCAGCTGCTTGTCCTCAGGGCCTGCATACCTGCCTTCTCCAGCTGACAGGTACAGTGCTGTTCAGTGTGTGTGCATAAGAACTGGGCACAATAATGTGGGAAAAATGCCCAGAGGGCCTGGGACTCTTGGGCTCGCATAAAAACTGCCCATCATGCAGAGGAGAGAGACAGTATTAAGAACATGCCATTACAGCCTGCTTTCACTTCATATCCCTACATTCCTCACTGCACCTGACAGAGAGGGCTTATCTGGACATCCACATCTAGCATATTGTCCCTATCATAACAAAACCTTTTTTAAACTAAATTTAATTTTAAAATGCCAGCTGCTGTTTTTACGTTTCATTGTTGTTATCTAATTCAATGATATCATGTACATAATACAGCATTTACTGAAATACTATAAGCTAGCAATCAGAAGGTATTTTAAGATGTTTTTTTGGGAACATGACAAAGGTTAACGTATGATTATAAGAAAATAAATAATACCATTATACTGTAATCTAATTAGTGTCATTTTTTCTCTGCTTTGAGATTTGAGCCCCTCCAACAAGAAACATATTAAGCATTCCACCTGTATTGTTGAATTATCAGTTATTTTGTTTTCTACCTTATTTTGTACAACCTTTTACATTAAACATCCAAACTATGGATTATTTACAATTTAGTGACCCTTTTATTTTCAATATTGTGCATCAAAAGTGCTGTGCTATGCTTATATGATTTTTGCAAAAAAATGTCACAATTTTTCGTTGCCAGGGCTCATTTGATCACCACTTTTTAAATGTGAGGCATTATTGATGTTCATTTTGTTACTCCATGTTTCAGTGTTATATAGCTTTCTCAGTCATTGTGAAGCCATCTACATCTCTATTCATCTAACATTTCTACATTTTTTTATAGCTTTCTACAAACTAGTTGAAACCTATAGAGTTGTAGAATAGTATAACATTGTAAGAAAACCATTTTATACATGTACAGTGGGGTCCAAAAGTCTGAGAACACTTCTATTTTTCATTCTTGTCTAATTTAATACAAGGTTTTTCATTATAAATGATATTGTCAAGTTAACAATTTGCGTGAAAAGTATAATCTTTGAATGTTTACATGAATTTCAGGATTTCTTAGTATTTGATCTGTCCCAGTCTTGCTTTAATGACAGTGTGCCCTTAAGCTGGCATGCACTCCATAAGTTTTGCAGAAGTCTCTGTTCAGTAGATCAAATCCACCTGACAGTCATCTGAATATGAGCTTCAATGAAAGAAGACTTAAAAACGTACCTTTTTGTACAAAGGCCTCAGTATGTACGGTCAGTTTCACAAATGTGCTTCAAATTGAGTAATGACCTAAAAACAGTGGAGAATCTTGAATATTTCTTTATTTTACCTGTCAAAAGTTTTCTGTTCTATTTTTTCTAAAACTCCTGCTATTAGTGATTTAAATGAAGAAGTCCTAGATTTTCCTTGTGCTCTCAGACTTTTGGACCCCACTGTATGTCATCATATTAGTTTTATATTATTGAAAACAGTGATTCCAAACTTGTAAAGGGTAGTGTACACTGAAGTTAGGAAAATGTCTTGGTATTTTTTCTCATCAAGCTACCATGTTAGAGATTATAGATTTGGGCATTTTGTTATGTCAGTGAGAATCTGCTTCTATGTAAATTAATCTGAGAATTTCTGGCAGGTTTTGGGTAACAGCTGTGTGGGTAGTTGGCTTATCTGTAATCAAGGCAGGATATCATGGCTACAGGCAGTGTGCTGATTCAGGATTTAAGAGTAACACACCATTAGCATGGACAAGGTCATCCACTAGTGGGAAAGTTGTTACAGCAAGCTATCATTCACTCTGAGCTGACATCGGTGGTACGCTGACCTTGATGTGAACAAAGTGTGTTACCTTTACAGCCTACATTTCATGATTATATTCAACTGCCATTCTGCCACTGTCTTGCCGGTAGAACACCTGCTGAAACCACTGAACTGACTGAAACACGAAGACTGTAAGGAACAAATGTGAACAGCTTCTCAAAGCGATTTTAAAACAAAAAAAATCAGCAGAATTCAGTCATTCAGAGTGGTTTGATGTGAAATGTTTCATAAAGTAAAACTTATCAACTTGGATTTTCCTTACACTGGTGACAGGCCACCATGTCAACAATGCAAATATAGTCGCATAACTAGTAATCCTACATGTACCTTCAGCTGTCTATTGCCATGAAATGCTTCTAAAAATACATTTTAGGGCAAAATCGCATCTTTTTTAGGGAGCTTTTAGAGGCATTAAACCCTTCAGACGTCTGGTTCCTATCACTGTGAACAATTCTGATTCAGCAAGTTCCTCTATCAAACCACTCTGAACGCTATGTTTACATTCTAACATTTGATTCTGCAGCAAATTAAAAAAAAAAATTTAGAATTCCCCTTTCAGATGGAACTCAACCAATCTTTTAACATTTCTGCATTAGACATACAACACAACAAAATTAGCAGATCTCTAACATATTCTTTTAAGATGTTTTTGAGAGTTTTGGCCTAAACCCTATTTTTATTATTATTTTTTTTTTATTAAGCACTATATTTTACCATAATTAACGTGACATGTACCAATTTAGAAGATGTACGTATACTGGCTGTTCAGAATAGTAAATAAAATGACAATATTTGCATTGCCGGTATCATGACCCCTTGTTTGTATCACCACAATTGTAAAGAAATCTGAGTACTTTTCTACAATGCAAACCACACTGAATGGCTTTGTTTATACCTCAACAAATTAGTTATGCAAAGATTTTGAAAAACTAGTGAAATTCCCCTCTAACATGAGGAACATGAGGACTGCTTTGTAAAGAATACATACTATATAACATTTCTCACTGGGTCTTGTGTCCAAATACTGCCACTTGCTGGCAGTAGCAGGTACTCCTTCTCCTTGAACTACAGTATTCACCCAGCACTAGCATTAAATGACTGAAAGCTACAAACTTCAGTTGCATAAAAATTCAAGTAAATAGTTTCTGTTCAGGCATCTGTTACACAAGTGCATTCATCTGAGTGATTTTTGGTTAAGTGATGTTGCATGTGATGACACATGTGACAGTGATATTGTGGGTAAATAACTGATTTGTGGCACAGCGCCACTGTAAATTATGAGTACATTTTATTATTTAATAATAGTATACTGAAAGCAAGTTTACTTATTTTTGAACAAGCTTATTTTATATTTTATTCAAATCATTTAGGTTTTCAAGAAAGAAATGCAACTAGATGCTAAGTATTAGCATATTTCTAGCAAATATTACTTTTAAATATTAAACTTTGATCCTAAACTTCAAAATGTATGTACTACTTTACTTTAAAATTAACTCTTTACTTAAGTTAAAATCAGTTTGAAGAGTTTCATTCCAAAACACTGTATATGCATTTGTAACATTTTTGTACATGTAAGAGGTTTTTGAAAAGAATAACAGCTGATGTATAATGGAAAACAGATTTTTATTACTCTAATAAAGGATCATAAAATAGCATTGACATGTCTAGTATGTGTAAAACCCAATCCCTGCAACTTATTAAGAAATATCATGAAAAAAAACTAAAATTCCTGAAAGTGGTCTATAATGCATTTTGGAACAAAACCCTTCATTTGCACTGAACTTGAAATGAATATGTTAATTTACTTAGAAAAAGCGAGAAAAAGTCGCTCTATAATAATAATAACAATAATAATAATAACAACAACAACAACAACAACACATTAACAGGCCACTGTTTTTCAGCTAATATGGCGGTATAAGTGAAAATTTGAAAGATTTAATTTTGTATAGACCATTTTGTAACTGAGTTGTATTGCTTTTAATGTTCTCTTTTTCTTTTCAGGGACAACAAAGTAATGGCAACAAAACAAATGAAAAAAAAAAGAAAACATTTCAGTTCTGTATAGCCATAGTAGTACATTCACATCTTCAGAAGCAAAATTCATCTTTATAAAGCAGACATCAGACCAAAGCTCTCTGTCCACTTTCATTGTAGCACTGTAGTCCATTTCAGATAACACTGATTACTAATATGGCAGGCCGCTCTCTCCAGAAAAGACAAGCTTTTTAAACTACGCTGGACCAGAAAGAAATAAATAGCTAAAAAAGAACACATAAATACTTTGAAGGCAAGCTGATGATGTTGAATTTTATAACACAGACATAGGAGGTCATGAAATAGGCAGGTTGAGAAGTGATGGCTGTAGACCACAGATGCCCAAACGTTTTTGGGTAGAAAAGAAAAACCCAAGTGCTGTGCCCAGGACCACGATCAAAATACCAGAAAAGCCCAATAGTCATTCGTCCAGAACTGTAAGCAAATGTACAAAGTGTCACATCTAATGTCAAATCCATTGTGACTTGGCAGATCGAATGTCAAGTTTGTCCCGTTGGCCACAGTTTGGGCAGCTTTGATCTATGTCCTTAGCATGTGAGCAGCTTTCCACACACAGTATACTAAAGTTGTGTTGCACGGACAGATCTATTTTTATCCTAAATCCGTAAGTGCTTTACAATCATATATGGGGTAAATGTGATGGACTGCAAAAGCAACTGACATTACAGAGGGCACATTGTATCAAATTCTGTATTTCTTTGGCAAACATACTATATTGCATTGCCTTTTTTTGTTTTATTTTACATTCCTAAAGAAAACAGTGACTAAGCACTGTTCCTATAACCAGTAACATACTCCATATCTTTTGCATGATAAACCTGAATTGCACAACAAATGGCAGCATTCATGGCAAACGTACATTTGTGGTTGACCACATTTGTGGTTGATCACATTTTTTTTTTTTCTTTTTTTCTTCTTCTGCATTCACGCCTTTCCATCCTAAAACACCTAAATATGGCACAATGAACACATATATTCAAAACAAAGTGACATGCTGTAACATACAGTTTACGTCTTGCATGATTCAAGAGCTTCTCAAAATCTCCTGACATCTCAGCCAAAATAAGTCTTTTTTTATTCTTCCTCTTCAACGCAATAAAATGTCCTGAAGACTATACATTTTTTCCCCTCAATATAATGTATTAGTCACTCGAGAGTAACATAGCAACAAAAATAAATATTTAATTAATGTTATCTTTTTATATATAGTAATACATACATACATATCTAATAATATTCATTTCCCTATCTATTATCAATTGTTAGCTTATGATGTGTGGGTGTTTTTCTCTCTCTTTTTTATTTTTTTTCGTTAAAAGTTAGGTGCTGACACAGTGAGAAAAAAATGGGCTCTGACTCATGACTCGAGGAAACTCAGATTAAAAAAATAACTCGTCTACTTTGTTATAGTTAAATAAAACCCTGCTTCGAGAAGGACACAAATGATACAAGCACAGCATTTTTTTGTTGTTTTTTTTAGGTCCTTACTTCATTAGAAGGAACGCTGAACCTTTTTTGAACCTAGTTTTTAGACCTTTCTTTTAAGAGAAGTACAAAATGGATCTACACATGCAGCTGAGCAGTTCGCAACGGTAAGCGCCAGCTTAGCGTATTTGTCTTTTTGACTGCCGCGGAAGCCAAAGGATGGGGGTGGGGGGTGGGGGGGGGGGGGCGTTGTGTGAGGTCACGACGCAGAGCACAGAACACAAGAGCTAAAGGCCTACTAGCAACGTGCAGGGCTCATCCACAGAGATCCTTACTGTTCTTATGGTACAGAGCACATCAAGGTGTGACCTGTCAGGTTAAGCCCCACCGACAGAGGGAGGAGCCATTGGCCATCAGCAGTTAGCCTCACGTAGCTGCAGCTGATGGCAGTATGCTTTAACAGTCCCACCTCCGCAGGCAAGAGCATGTCGTCTCGATCCTTCCTTTATTATTGCCAATAATGGACCACAGTGTATGTTGCTGTATTTTCCCGAGATGCTTTTGGTCTGTTGAGAAAGGTTGTCAGAGAAGACTTGTGTTTTGCAAGAGCACAACACTAAGCCAAGAAGCCTATTGTCTTTTAAGTCCAAAAGACTAGTGGAGAAGGTTCTTTGCAAGCAAACATGCAAACGTTTCTTCATACTTCTTTTTTTTTTCCAGAAGAACAGACATGTATGATAATCCTGAAGGACTTAACATTTTCAATTTGTGTCTGAATCAACAATCCCGTCCATTAGAAAACAAATGGAATAAATCGGCATACTTTTTTTCTGAGCTCTACCTTTGGTGGTTCAACCTGTGTCCTCTTGCATATGATCCTTAAAATATCTATTTTTCCTTTCACAAAGCTTCGTTTCCCAGGAAAGCTAGCGGGATCAGCTGTATCCCCGTCAATCATACTCAACTGTCACAACACCTTTGGCACCTCCTCAGGCTCCAGCTTTGATCTTCACCTAGTCTTTCTGACGATGTGTCCCAAATCTTCATAAAAGTCGCCCCGACCTCCACGAGTTTTTCAATCAAAGGAAATTATGTCCACACTGAAAGAAACGAATAAGAAATGAATAACAAAATCTTCTTTGGCGGGAGAAAAAAACACTCGTGGAGAGAAACTCAAGATGGCCTCCAGGGCAGATGTTCAGGGTTTCTGAGTGTTGGACATGACTTTGGAGACGAAACTGATGATGGCTGTGGCCGGCTGGTCAGGCTCCAGTTCAGCAAACAGGTGGCTCACATTATCTGTTGTGCTTCCTTGTTTTCGGGCCACAAAACCAAAGAGCCTGACGTACAAAGCAGAGGAAACATCCACTGAGTTTACCAAATGTGTTTAACAATGAGTCAGCTGTGCTCTTCATCACAGTGATATGGAAGTATTACTGCTCTCACCTTGCTGAGTCTCTGTCTGCCTTGATCCACCTGTTTCAGAGAGACCAAAATGCGTCAGATTTCAGATTTCAGTACAGTGGCATTTTCACAAACTGCAAATGTCACAGTGGCATTGTGGTTCAAATCAAGTGTTGCAGTGGCACAACTATGATTTTAAGGGCCCAAGTGCAAAAAAAATGACCTTCAATGAGTAAAAAATGACAATGTAATTTGTTTGTTTACTTGACCTTTTTATGTCTCAAACAGGTTGATACTCTCAAGGCATGCTCCTCCACCCACTGGCAAATAACGTTTACTATCTACAGTCATGTGCAAAAGTGTGGGCACCCTATGAGCTCCAGTGTGACTGCCCCACTGTCCCCCCCTCCCCCAGTAGTTATGGCAGTGATGAGATTTCTCTTCAATACTTACTTCCTTTCTTGTGGGTCAATATTGCAGTATGTTACTGTATTGACAGGATAATGACGTCGGAAGAAGATCCTTAAAGAAACAAACAAAACACACAGGTGCAATATTGTAATATCTGTCATTAGCGATATACCGTGATCTTAAGTATTTCTTTATCCTATTTTATGAATGATTTACTTTTATTCTAACGTAGAAGAGGTTGAAGGAGAATTCCACCACATTTTTCAAAATTTCTGGGCTATTTAATTATTAAGATGTAAATAAAGTCATTCAGAGTGGTTTAATGTGAAATATGCCATTTTAGAGATACTTACCAAGAATAGTTCATCAAATAAGATGTGTAGGGTTTAATGCCTCTAAATGCTGCATCACAGAAAGCTGTTACATAAAATTGTTACAAATAATGAACCTAATGCCAGAGGCATTATGTAAGTTTTGCGAAAAACCTTTGGTCCTAAAACATATTTTTAAATATATACATGGTGGAGATCAACACTACATATAAAACTCAGAAGACACATGTAGGTTCACTGGTGATTTTGGATAGTAAATAAAATGGCTATATTTGCATTGTAGGTATCGTGATCTCTGGTTCCAATAACCACCACTGTTAAGAGTCAGTAAGCCTCTCAATTATGAACCAATTCACATCAAACCACTTTGAATAATTTGTTTAATTCTCAATGACTGAATTAAGCAGGAATTTAGAAAATGTGGTGAAATTCTCATTTTTTCACACTTAGTTCGCTTCCTAAAGTCTGCACCAGAGTTTGACACTGTGTTGTGCAGCAGCTAAAGTGTACCAAATAAGCTCATACATGTGAATATTTTTGATCTCTTTGGCCTCCATTAGTGCCAATAATGACCTGCATTTTATTTTTACTTTTACCAGCCTATGAATGTATCAAATCCAGATCTATCCCTTCAATACATTCTTGACAAACTGTATAATCCTACCTATTGTCTTGTATGGAAATAGAGATGATTAATGTCTCGATGTACCACTATCAGCGTGATTACGTGATTTCTTTATGAGCATTTTTTTATTTTATTATGTCAAACATCAGCTTGAACTTAACCAATCAGATTGCTGATGCCCGACTCACCCTAACAAAAATACGTTCAAACGCCAAAATCAAATCAAATAAAAAGCTATGCTATTGGTCATATGCCATTATTAGCAGTGGTTTATACAGCAAGAACAATACGAGCTTCTGTAAAGTATCAAATGTTAAACCCTTAAATACTCAGGCTTATTGCATACTAAGATTTATTATTCAGTAACTACAGGGACTTCAGTACAAATTAGCTAAGCTATTCTTAGGTTATAGACGCGTTTAATAAAACGTTGGGCCCGCCAATAGGCCTTGGCCATTTAAGTGGTTAAACAGGCAGATTATGAGGACAGTACAGTGCTGATGTTTACTGAAAAAAACATGCTCTGATGTTGAGTTTCCTCATTTTGGTGCAGACCATCATAAAAATGTATTCCCAACAGTAGCGAACTGAACCAGCACCACAGTTCAGTTGTTTAACACATACATGAATATGTGTGGGGTGTTTGCACGTGTCAAAACTCAACTTAATTGGAATTAAGTTAGGAATTAAGTTAATTAGAGTTAGGGTGTAGTTTATTTGGCTACATGCTTTCCTATCCGACTTTATAATCTTCGGGCACTTTTACTCCAATCATGTTTGTTGCAAACATTTTATTTAGTTATTTACATTGTTATTTGCAACAAACATGATTGGAGTAAACATACCCAAAGACTACAAAGTTGGTTAGGAAAGCATGTAGCCAAATAAACTACATGCTAACTCCAATTCCAATATCCTCAGCAATAACTGATGGTAAAAACCGATAGTTGCACTAATATTGTCCAAGCAACTCTCACAGTTATGCATTGACGTCACTTCATTAAATAATGCACATCAATTCTATGTGAATAAAATATATTACATTACCACAATTACTGCCAAAGACAAATAAACTTAAAGACAAAATTGTGTTGATGTAATATGTTTCAGTAATATAGAAATGACAAACACATTTGAATCTAGTAAATTTAATGCCTTTTAAATTTGCTTCACTGTTAAATATGGTTCTTATTAAAAGTAAAGGCACTTTCGAAAATTATAAGCCACTGTTAACAAACAAAATTAGGTTTTCTTAAGCATCTTAAATGTTTTTATTGAAAAAAAAAAAAATACACTTTTTCAAAATGGTCAGACATTTTAATCATACCATGATATACGTTTTGTCCATACCACCATTACAGCATTCAAATATGAATAGTCTGCTCTGAACTCACTTCCTCTGATTGTCAGTGAGAGTGATGCCCTGCAAGGACACTTTGAAGTGGACGACGGTTGCCGTGGGTGCAGGGTTAGTGGCCAGCGTCTCGCTGATAGCTTTGGCCACGGCCTGAGGGCCTGTCAGGGACTCCATATCCACTGAGTTTATGTACAGAACATTGCATGCTGCAAAGGAAATGGGACATGGAGATAAGAACACATGAAGAACAGAGTTTTTGGCTTCAAAAGTTATAATAAGCATGTGTCAAAAGATTATTTCAGACCATATAAAAAAGATGAACAATGAGACGCTTACATGAAGTAGAATGTTTGTTTCTAAATTTCACACAAGGCATACACTACACTGCTGAAATCATTAGGGGATAAAAACTATGTTAAATTTGCGATGTACTATCAGTAAACAGATTTTCTCAAAGCTGGAGAGGTGTTGGGTCATCCATGCTTGCTGCGTCATGCCTGGGGAAACACTCTTTTTGTTTTGGGCTGTTTAGATTTTTTGAACAAGAAAACAAACTGAGTAAAAAGTACTGCAAGTGGTGGCAAAGACAAGCCATGTAATGTTAGAAAAACTGTGGAGGAGAGCGGGGCACATCCTGACACATTTTGGCTATAACTTTTTAAACATATTTGAATAATAATAAGCTTAATAATATTTTTATACAAGCAACCTACACATCTCTCCTATCAGTGGACACTTCTTTTTAGGCAGCTACCATTTGTAAAAGATCCAGCCAAAAGTGCAAATGTTAACTGTCAGAGCGGCTACCTGTAACAAGTCTTATAAATTCCTGCAATACAAACTGATTCAATACAGTTCTAGGTTTTTGAACCAGACACTATTTCCAAACTAAATACATAAAAATATATAAATCAAAATGAATATGACTGAAAAGAGGTTGTGTCAAACAATGGCAAATTTATTTTTGACCACAAAGAACAGCAAATATCTGTATGATAAAACATATATGTTATGTCTGTAGTACGCTTCTGATGACTTTGTGAACAATTTCTAAAGCTAGTGTGTTTCAGTAGTGACAATGTTTAATGTTACACACTTAGACTTTGGACACATTTACTTCAAAACAATGGGATCTAACTGCTCACCATGTGGCCATGAGGGACAGGGATGCAATCTCACTTCCTGCTCTAAACTGCAGGGTTTTGGCTAAAATTAGGCTCGGCCTATAGACTAAAACTCTTTGTTTTTTGGTAGTGACATGAAAACATGGGTCAGCATTTTTCAATTTAAAAATTAAACTTATGATAAATCAAAATCTTTCAATATCACTTTAACAGAAATCAAAAAGATCTTTTTTAAAATAACATTGGAAAAAAACAAAATGTAAGTATTACTTTTACAAGTTAAAATTTAGGGGTTAGGGGTTGGGACAGACACCTCCCAATAGAAAGTACCCTATAAATAATGATTTTGTATATGTTTGTATATATTTGTATAATTACCTTGGAGTTAAACAGATAATAACATAATCCTTCAAAATGTCATTCCTGAATACTTGGTCCTCATATTTTTATAGTAATAAAAAAACACTTACAGTGAAAAAAGTACTTCATGGGTCTTCATGATAATTCTCAAGAAAATATATATAATAAGATTACTGTGAAAATTCAGAGATGTCAATGCTATGGCAATATGAGACAATGAGTGAAAGCATGTGTTTGAACCTACTTAACTATACAAAAAAACCCATATTACATTTTACCCCGCACTAGGTTGTGTCCTGCACTCCTCTACTGGTCTCTGGAGTGTCCACTGAGAGGAGAGGGGCTCTGTGACCACTAGCTGTTATTAGTACATGAACATGCACAGCTATAGAAACACTTAGTAGTGTGGACTGATACCAAAGACTATATTTACCATGAGACTCTTCAGGAGGCTTTGGTGGCCCTAGAATGTTGTACGAATGACATGAAGAATGAGGGGACAAATGAAATAGACACACACAGCAATGAGTGAAGGTCACTCAGCTATGAGGGTGAGCGCACAAACAGACAGAAAAGCAAGAAACAAGGGAGAGAAAGAGTGAGGGGCATACCTGCTCCTTGTTTGAGAAGATCCATTGCAGAACTTGTGGGTGTGGCCAACTCCAAAGCCTCTTCATTCGGATCTACTCATAGAAATACAACAATAACTTGTTGTTATAAGAATAACCCAGAGTGCTTCACGTTCTATAAAACACTGAAACTGTGTATGGCACAAATAGTATCTGTGAAGTAAAAAGAATGATAAAAAAAAAATGATAAAAATAAATTAATAGAATAATTAATAAGGATGCATGACGGAATCAGCCAACATCAGAATTGACAGATCTTTGCATCCCAACATGAAGTCATCACTCAGTCTGTTTATTATTTTGATTTTGGCTAAGCTGTTTTGCAATTTTATGACATAAATAATGCGAGTGAGGTCAATGCCCTTGCGCTGTATTTAAACGCTGCTGCTGCACCTTACAGTTCTAAACTGGGAGTGGAGCAAAGGGTACTTCAAGTGATACCATAGAAGAACCGCTTTTGGTTCCCTAAAGGACCACGTTTGAAAGAGAGATCTTTACATTCTGTGGAGGATCTTTAAATTTTAAAAAAGTTCTTTACATTCATGCATCTCACTTTCCCAATGAACCATTCATAAAAAAGAGGTTTTTACTATGGCATGAACTGAATTTGGCAGCTTTATTTTTAAGAGTGTATACCCAAATATCATAGTGTAATTGTGCATGACTAAATCTAACTGCTTCTTACTTTTGATGCAGCACTTTATTTGACTCTTTAAATGTTATTTAAATAGGTAACTGATTAAACTGAGGTTCAGTATAAAATGCCAGTTTGGCCTGATAAAGAGCAAAATTGTGATTTATATTGCGACTTTGGCTACGAGAAAGTACTGAAAAAATATTGAAGGATATTGTTGACTTGTGAAGTTGTTACTGAAGATACTGGCCCAAACAATCCCCCCCTCCCTCCCCCCAAGTATCAAGGTTATGTACCTGTGATAGAGAGGCACAGAAAAGTACAGAACATTCTAAGATGACCTAAAAGGATCAGGCCTTTAGAGACAGATACCCTACGTTCCAACAATTACATATCATCACTGTCAGAACAAAACCTATATCTCCATTTGCACTGTGTCAAAACTGCATGACAATTGGACCAATTGGACCAATTAGAAAAGGTACAAAATGACTTAGAATAAAATATTGTTACATTGAATTCAGTGAAACTTTTTTACCTCTTCTCCTGAAAAGTTACTTATTTGGAAAAGCAATGTTTGTTCCAACAGCAATGATATACACCAATCAGTTATAACATTATGACCACCTCCTTGTTTCTACGCTCATTGTCCATTTTATCAGCTCCACTTACTATATAGGTGCACTTTGTAGTTCTACAATTACAGACTGTAGTCCATCTGTTTCTCTGCATACTTTGTTAACCCCCTTTTACCCTGTTCTTCTGTGGTCAGGACTATTTGGGTGGTGGATCATTCTCAGCAATGCGGTAACACTGATGTGGTGGTGGTGTGTTAGTGTGTGTTGCGCTTGTACAAGTGGATCAGACACAGCAGTGCTGCTGGAGTTTTTAAACACCTCAGTGTCACTGCTGGACTGAGAATAGTCCACCAACCAAAAATATCCAGTCAACAGCATCCTGTGGGCAGCGTCCTGTGACCACTGATGAAGAATTAGAGGATGATTAGCTCATACTGTACAGCAAGAGATGAGCTATCATCTCTGGCTTTACATCTAGTAGGTGGACCAACAACGCAAGTGCGTCTAATAGAGTGGACAGTGAGTGGACACAGTGTTTAAAACCTCCAGCAGCACTGCTGTGTCTGATCCACTCGTACAAGCACATCACACACTAACATACCACCACCACGTCAGTGTTACTGCAGTGCTGAGAATGATCCACCACCCAAATAGTACCTGCTCTGTGAGGGTCCACTGGGGTCCAGACCACTGAAGAACAGGGTAAAAGGGGGCTAACAAAGTATGCAGAGAAACAGATGGACTACAGTCTGTAATTGTAGAACTACAAAGTGCACCTATATAGCAAGTGGAGCTGATAAAATGGACAATGAGCGTAGAAACAAGGAGGTGGTCATAATGTTATGTCTGATCGGTATATAAAAATATAAGAAAAGTACTATAATGGCTGGAACATTACATTAACATTATGGTTTTCACTAGGAACAGACATGAAGATGCTTCCCTGTTAAAGAATGTTAAAAACCAGTAAAGGAATCTTAAAATCAATTCTTCAAATATGAGAAGACTGAGCTGAAAGACGGCTCAAAGGCTGTAGTCAACTCAAAGTAAAACACAGTCCTCGAAATGCAGACACTGCATGGAGTTTCAGAAAACAGAGAGGGTCAGAGTTTACAGAGTACATACAGTCTACTCTGTACAATAACAGAGAGAAGCTGAGAGAATGGAGTGATAGAACGCCGCTCTCACCTCTGGTGGGGATCATAAGCTTGCATGGCAAAGCCAGGGGTGTGATGGAGTGTTGGTATACCAGTGCAGACAGACACCCTGTAGACACACACAAACACACACACACACACACGCACGCACACACACACAGTGAGCACATACACACAAACATAAAGGAACAGTTACTGTACACAAATAAGCTGATGGATGGGGCACTAGAGACACACAACACTATCAAAAATCTTCAGTAAAATGTTATATAGAAGTTAGGGCTGCACCATAAGTCATATTTTTATTGTCATCAGAATACGGGTTTCTGCAATAAACACATCATTGAAAGCTGCGATGACAGAATGAATCAAATAGCCTCACATTTGAAGTGTAATTAGAGGTAGAAAGTAGTAAATTACTTTACTCTCAGCACTGTAGTTCATTTCCCTTGTAACAGTACTTTTTTGAGAGATTTACATCATTTTATTTTTACTTTTACTTGTGATATCCAGCAGCTTTCAGCAAAGCATTTTATATCCATATCGTGCAGCCCTAAGTACTGAAAATGCATGATGTGAATGTCCAGATAAGAAGTGCCCAACTCAGGGGCTAGAGGGCCACAGTAACACCCGATTAAGTGCTGAATGAGTTGGATGTATTTAAGGACTATTGTAGAAAAATTTGCTTACCCAAAACATAATTTGTCAGCCAAGACATTTCATGTCTGAAGTTTTCATCAGTTTTGCTTTGGAGCTACAAGGCTAATGTAGCTAACAAGTAATGGAAGCTTGTATCAAATTTGTTCAAACTTTTGTCCATTATTATTCCTAACTGTAATGTCGTACAGTTTCACAAACCACAAAACAGATGCATTTCAGATCACTTACACACAGAGCTGCTTAAAAGCAACACTGCTATTTAATGATATGCCTAGCCATGACTGGCACATTAAATATTTCTCAACATCTCTCAAAGTGGCATTAACAGTTATTTGAAAAGCACTATTTGATTTGATTGTTAACACAGTATTATTTACACTTACATTTACATGTATTTTTGCCACATATATACAGTACTGTGCAAAAGTCAGAGGCCGCCACTCTTTATTTACTTCATTTCTAGTTAAAACAGTGCAAGTGCAAGTTATAATTTAGGTTAAAAATATATATTTAACAGAAAATTACACTGACTAATCATAATATTATTTTAATAACAATAACCATTTCATGTTGTTCAGTTTTTAGTGTGACTACCTTTTGCCTTCATTACAACTTCCATTCTTTTCATTTTTTAAATTCCAGTTTCGGAAACTTCTATCTTGTATCTAATTTCCTCAGAAATATCACCTGAAAAAAGATAACTTGTACTTAATGCTTGTTTCAACTGGGCACTTAATACAGGAAGGGTAGTCTCTGACTTTTGCATAGTGCCTTTATGTATATGTATGAGTATTTTCAAGGACATTTTAAATTTTTCCAGTGAAGTATTTTGCAGTCTTTAAAGGCTCTGCACAGTATGTTAGTTAGGCCTATTCTTATCATTTTGACTTAAAAAAATTAGGACATTAAACTCTGCACTACTGTAGCCCTCAAAGACTGTAGTCTGACACTCCTGGACCAGACATTTGTTTCATTTCACATTGCTTTCAGCTTCATTATTGACTGACCAATGCTGATGGCTGAGTGTAAAGTGTGTGTGGGATGGATCACGCACCAAAGTATGGCTCGTTCGGACAGCCTTTCAGCCTGACACCTTTTGGGCTGGTCTCGATTAAGAAGTGGCGGACCAACTCATTAGTCATGTCACCAGCTTCAACGGGAAACAGAGCACAGGAACATAAACACAGTTCTGTAGGTATAACAGCTTAGTAATAGCAGTGGGCATTGTTTTTACCTTTCTTATTCTGCTGCACTGTTGGCGGAGGGCAGGCCACTTTCATGGCTAAGCCATACGCCCCTCGGAACGAGTGGCTGTCACGGATGACAAACGCTCCTGGCTCACGATCTTTCAGCAGATTAATGGCTGAGAGGGGAGAGTAAAGAAACCATCAGCATGTACTGAGTTATGCAGTTTTGTTCACTGAATAGTGACATATGATTTCCTTATAAATTCTCACCTTGCTCCCTTGAGATGTCTGGTTTGTACCAGAACCTGGATGTATCTTGAACAAACTTGACATTGAGCTTGATATCTGGAGGTCCATCAGCTGGAAAGAGAATCATACTCACTGAGTGTTTTGCTCAAGTTACACAATTCAGTATGACATGCAAATTTCAAGTACTTCTGGTTCAGTGGTTCACAAGTATGTGCACACAGGCATTTTGACGCCCATGACATATCAGACACTCCAGGAATTCATGCATACTCAGCCAATGCTTGCAGTGTTTGCCAGAGCTTGCAATTTTGTCCAATCACTGCATTATTTGCTCTCTAAACATGTAAATTTGTAAAGTATCTTTAAAATGCCAGTCTCCCCACTTACATGTAAAGGGTTCATTTGATATCTAGGCTAAGTTTGCCACAACTATCGTGATTTTGTCAGTTCCATTCTCTGCACATCCATGTGAACATTGTTCTTTTGCAAGACACCTCTATGTGCTGCCTGCTCTATGTGCTGTGACTGAGCCTTTCATAGCAATATAGACACTTTTGCACTGTGTTCATTAATGCAAAGCACCTTAGCTGCTAGGTTCATATCAGTTCACAGCAATACTGGATGCTCCAAGTAGCTCATTTTAATACGTGTGTGCATGTGAATGATCTATCAGTACTTTGTTGCAAATTTTTATTACATCATTTTGATGTAAAATATAAAATATACTTTTTTTAATTTCCTTTTGTTTTGACAGAAACTAACTAGGCTCTATTTAAAACAAGAATTGCAAGAATCTGCAAACCTTGAAAAAAACAACATACTTAAAAATATTGCCACTAATGATGAGAAATGCCACTACAAAATCAAGCATTTTAGCCTGCAAAAACTACAAAAAGTGTCTGCAAAATCCTGGGGGATCTGACATATGCTTGTCATGCCCTCAAATTCAAAAAATGAATTACAAAATAACAAGATATCATATAGTGTCCCAGAGCCTCAAGGCTAAAGCTAGAACAGCTAGAAAACAGTTGCTAAGTTTGTCTAGTTAGTTTAACAGACTTAACTGATAGCTTAACTGACAGCTTGCCACCAGCCCTGTCACAATAGAGATGTTTTATTTTATATTTTATTTTGTAACTTTTTTCTCAGTTTCAGATCAATATCTATAGGCTTGTAAACATTTGTTTCACATTCAATGATTATGTCTGATAATTTCTGGCAAATGGTAGATGTCCACTACAAACATACAAAATATAATGTCAGATAAAACAAACAGATTATAGGCTATTAAAGACAATTATCAATAAAAAGTCCTTTGCCCACCAGAAAGGATAAGGCTGAGGCTGTGCCTGTTGTAAAATGACCTCACTCTAGTTGCTACTACTTACCATAGATGGAAACTAAGGTAGGCTCTTGTGGGGATCGCGGGGCAGGGCTGGGTGTGCTGACTCCGCTAGGCGCCGGTGTCGGGGTTAGAGTCTTGCCGTTCTGGGTGCCGTCTACTGCCACTCTGTCGAGTCTCTCTATGCTGGGGTCCGTTCTTTTGCCTGGCAGCTGGGGCTGCCCCAAAGGAAAGGATGACATGAGAGCAGGGTTGGGGCCCATAGAGGATGAACTCTGCCTGGATTGCGCCCCTTGTCTGTCGTCAGATGTGGCTTGCCCACTGGGTGTGGGTCTGCGATCCGGGCTGGGGTTCCGGGGAGCAGGTGAGGGGTGCCGGTTCAGCACAGGACTGGGTGGGATGAACTTGCCATTACGGCCCAGCAGGGGGCTGTTGGGTGTGGATGGTTCACTGCTGCCATTACTGGGCGCCATGCGACGGGCCATAGCTGGACTGCTCTGACTGCCGAGCCGGCGCTGGAGAGCAGGGCTCGGGGGCGTGTTGGTGGCCACGGTGCGGTGCAGGGTATTGGGGCTGCCAGGGACTCGGTGCACACCCATAACATTGACGGTAGCCTCCTCAGGGTCAAGGTAGCCCAGGGGGTCAGGAAAGAGAGGGGCACGGATGGGCTCAGCCGGAAAGGAGGGGAAAAAAGGTTCATTGGTGTGCGCAGGATTAGTCATCCTTATGCTACTGTAATAGAGAAGCAGCAAGAGAGATAAAAAGAGAGAGGGGCAAAGGGGAAATGAAAAAAATAAAGATTAGACATTTGGTAGCTACCCTGCTAGAAAAAAAACAGTATAATCAGTCACTAGCGAAACATATATTGTGTTTTGGATGGTGGTATGCTTATCAACGAGCATGACCATGCTGAGTGACTAGCTATACATACATTTACACATATATTTTTTCTTCATAACTAATAGTATTGCATGTTTATTACATATGACAATGGTAGCACTGTGAGATACATTCCAAATATCTACCTGTACATTTTGTGTAAATGCCAGTAGCCTACCTATTTCTCCTAGCAGTCTTTGTTTGGTGAGCGTGGGGCCGGCCCCTCAGCGTTCATCTAACCAAGTGAGCAGTTAAAAACACTGCGCATGTTCAGCGTGCTTTCAATAACCAGCTGTGGGGCACGATCATGTTGGCCCCATGCTGAGAGCAGCCAATAAAAAATAATAAATTTACATACATCCAGACATTTAGTAATTGTCGTTCACGGTATGAGCGTTGCTACGCAACTAGCCATTGTTTCTCATCAGTTGTGGTAGCCACTCATAACAGCAAGGCAATATAATGAGTCAAGTCGAAAATGTAATAAAAGTTAAATTTGATACCCTGCCATTAGAGCAGAAATTAGACATTAAACGTTCGGGACCACACCAGCCAGAGGATTTCAACATTATTCAGTCTGGAAAAAGCAAAAACTGCTCCTTTAATCCAGAGCGGTTCAATAGAAAAACATGGCTAACTGTGAGTGTAGCTAAAAACACTCTGCTGCTTTCCTTGCCTGCACTTACTATGCTATCATGCTATGCTATCACTTCAAATCATTCATGGATTGATGGAGAGAAAAAAAATTTGACAAGTTTGCCCAAATTAAAGACCGTTGTGCATCTTTTCTTTTCAAGCATTGAATGTCATGGATGAGTCATTTTGCATTAGTACAAGGTGTCTGATTCCTAATGCCTGGAAAGCAGTGTGTTTCCCTGCTCTGAAATGTTGCTTTGGATATGTAGTTGCAGACCACAATGACTGTATACTGCTATAAAACTTTTTGCTTTTGCTGTATAACTAGGTTTTGTGAGATCTAATGTTGCTATCATATCACTCATATATGTTATACATTAATTTGTGAATTTTGTGTTTTTGGATCAGGTTTGTGTGTAGTTTCATTGACAAGGCGGCTGCTGCCCCTACAGTTTATTGTGCCCCACCAGGCTTTCTGTGCCAGAGACGCCACTGCTTCTTTCTAACTTCATTGTGGGGTCTATTCATTTGTTTTTAAAGGTAGTACTTTTTGTCAAGATTTACAAGACAGGTTAGTTTCCTGCTAGCTAGTTAATGACTTGAGCTGCAAAGAGGTCAAGTAACCCTTACTAATATGGGGGACATAAACTTAAAAATATGGCATGTCCTGAAACTGCTGCTGGCTTTCTAGGTCTGTAGATCTGTAGTGATCTTAAAATGGGTCCTCAGGGCCCCCAGATGGTCCACATTTATGCTTAATCCTTATGCACTGTGAGGTATGTTGGAGCAAAAACATGGACCATCTGAGGGGCCTTGAGGATTGAGGATTGGTTTAAAGACCACTGCTGTAGATGGATAATGTTTTGGAACTGTGGCCTTCAGAGTAGAGAGAAAATTATGGCTCCATACGTTAAAGTAGCACTTACCCATCAGGGTTATAGATGGCACTGCTGGCAGGCTGAGGAGGAGTGAAGGTGTGGGGAGGCTGAACTGGTCTATTTGGGATAGCAGGAGGGTAAAAGGAGTGGACAGGGGACACCATGCCTCCTCCTCGAACCAAAGAACCCATATAGCCCTGAGGCTCTGGAGAAAGACAGTGCAAAACAGAGATGTCCACATTCTAAAAAGTGACTTTTCTTGTGTTTGGACATCTTATACTAGCTGTTCAGGAAGTTGATTACAGGTCATCAAGAATGACATACACAACTAAAGAATCACTGCAATTCAGGACAAAACAGGTCAGTGCTTTATGTTGTTTGCACATATTCATCCACTGATACTGACAGAAACAAAAGTTAGAGCAAGGCTCCTGAAATATGGTCCATAAAAGGAATACTAAGGAAAAGAAAATAAACTATCATTACTGGGACAGGATTAGAGAGAGTACTCAGGTATTTCAACTGTGCAGGTTAAGGGAACACAATCAAAGTTCACATGCAAAAAAATGAGACGAGCACGAAGATGTATGTTTGTAAGAGTAAGTATACAGGGATGGAAGTAGTCTGAGGTAGACAGGATTGTTGCTATCATTTTAAACACCTCTTACCTTCTAAATCATCACTAGAATCAGAGTCTGACAGCGGCAAGCATAAGAAAAAAGAAAGGGAATAAACAACTTGGAAGAACTTTGTTACAAAAAAGAAAGAATAAGAATCAAGTGAAAATAAAACAAGAGGTGAACACTGCACGGAATGATGGAGGGAGAATGCGGAACCTGGAATTTTCAACTCTGCAGGGCATCAAATATGTTTGCTTTGATAAGAAAACCTGTGAACCTTACTTTAAGACATGTTAAGCTTTTGTGTCTTATAAAGTTATACGGCTTTCTTATTACAGTGATGGTATTATCTTACATGATGCAAATACACTATACGTATAAAAGTTTGTAGACTCCTATTTATCCAACATTTCTTTTGAAATCAAGCGTATTAATAGGGACTTTGTCCCTCTTTACTGCAGTAACAGCCTCTACTCTTCTGAGAAGACTTTACTCTAGATATTGGAACATTGTTGGAACATCGGTGAGATACTGATGTTGGGCTCCATCACTCCATCACACAGTACCACTGTTACACAGCCCAGTGCTGGGCATGGTGACTTTAATTCGGCTGCTCTAGAGCATCCCGTTCTATTGGCAGTGCTTGTCTGAGGAGATTATACAAGCTATGTGTGTGCGATTAAATGGGTGCACCTTAAAGTATTTGAATTCACTAGTAAGAAAAGCTGCCCACATATGGAAATATAGTGTACATGTATTGAGCTCTGAAGAAATAACTTGGCATGTTCCAAGTTAACAGATAACAGATAACAATTACTTATTATTGTACTGACCTGAGCTGCTCTGCTGAAACAGTGCCTCAGACGGGCTGGCTTGCTTCATTCCCACCGTAGAGAGAGGTGTTTTAGCCAGACCCGGCGGCGAGCAACCTGCGTGATCAAGTATATAGAGAAAGGACAGAGTCAATGGGAGCAGAAAAGAGCTCCTTTTGCACAGTAAACTTTACCTCACTCGAATGTCCAGTTAGTATGGTTGCATTTTAGAAGTAGGCTCACTCAAACGTGTGCCTGTGTGTACCGCATATTATGCCACAGCACAACTGCAATTAGAATGAACAGCAACAAATTGCCATGTGGACGGAGGAGGTCCATGCAAATGACTTTATGAGCAAAAAAGAACTTACATTCAGATGGTGCTACATGCATGACATCTACCAAGCAAGGGCAGCAACACAGCTACAGAAATGGATAGCAATTTAATGACTGATGGATGGGGGCTTACCATATCAATGAATCTATTCCTAACACTGCTATGTAGGAAGCAGCCACACCTTTTAGATAATTAAGCCTCTACATATTTGCTAGAAGAGCACTGATAATTTTTTATGGGCTATTCTGGCAATTTTTTGGCTGATTTTCATTAAATTTTAAAGGCAAGCAACAAATAAAACAATAACATTCTTTATTGTTTTTTTTTACCCAAACTTGCACTCTGTGGGCTAACTGAAGATATGGACCATTATACCAAATTAGTTTAATCTGTAGTCCCACTGTAAAAAAGCTGCAATGTAATATGTGAAGCAATAACTGTCACAACAAACCTGCATATATATGTATATGTATATATGCATCATTCTACTGAGTTAATTCAAACTGTGGTCCCACACTAAAAAAAAAGTGAAAAAATATATATATATATATATATATATATATATATATATATATATATATATATATATATACACACACATGTATTCAGAGCTTACAAGGATTATGTGATGATCTATTCATACCCAAGGCATTAATTAAGATATTAATAAGCTAAATATATATAAATCATCGATTATAGGGTACATTCTGTTGGGAGGTGTCTGTCCCAGATCGTAACCCCTAAATAAGAGAAAAATAATACTTACATTTTTGTGTATTTTTTCAATGTTGTTTTTATTTTTTTTTATTTCTGTTGAAGTGAAGCTGAAATATTCAGATTTATTATGGGTTTAATTTTTAAATAAAAAACTTTATTCAAAAAAATGTTCTCCCACATTTTCATGTCACTAATCAAAGCTTCTGTGATGAACACATTGCAAAGAGCTGCAAGACAAAAAAAAGTCCTACATTTTTCCATCACTACTGAAACACAGAGTTTTAGTATGTAGGCGGAGCCTTATTTTAGCATCCTCTGGGAGATCACATGACTCCTGACCCTCCACCATGCTCCTACAGATCTCCCTCTCCTGAGTACTGATCTGTTACACCTGTTGAGCTCTCATTAGCTTTAGTATAAAGCCCGGGCTTTTAGAACAGTTCAGTGTGAGGTATTGCTTCTTTCTAGAGCTACTGAGCGTTTATTTCCTGTGTTGTGTTTTCCGGTTTTGACCTATCCTCTGTATTTTGGCTCACCTGTTTTTGCCTGACCCCTTTTGGATTGTGTTTGCCTGTTGTTATGTTTGTGTGTCTTTACTTGCTGCCCTTTCTGGATTTGACCTGTGCCTGTTTCTTGACAACAATTTTGATTGATGATTCAAACAGTAAAGCCTTTTTTGTTCTTTTTATCTGAGAGCGTCTGAGTGGTTCTGTCACGTTACACAATACCTCGCCTACAATGCAGACGGCAGATCCGGAGGCTTTACAGAAAGCTCTCGCTGAGCAGGGTCATTTTTTGGGCCGTCATCAGCAGGTGTTAGCAGGGGTTTCTCATTCACTTGAGGCTTTGGCACAACAACAAACCGAGCAACAAACCCAGCTGCTACAGCTCGTGGCAAGTGTGAAGAGTCTAGCCAACCAACTACAGACCCTGACTACTTCCAAATCGGAGGAAAACACCACCAGTTCTCCACCCCAAGTGGAAACATCTAGAGCTCTGTTCCCAGTGAGTAAACCCGACAAGTTTGATGGAAACCCAGGTAAGTGTCGTGGGTTTCTGCTATAATGCTCTATTTTTTTTTTAATTACTCACCTGTGAGCTCAGATCAAGCCAAAATTTCTTCTTTGGTTTCTCGTTTGTCAGAGAGAGCATTAGAATGGGCTACTGCTAGCTGGTCACATGTCCACAATTTATCTTACTCTCAGTTTTTGAAAGAATTCCAACTTGTTTTTGATCATCCCCACGAGGGCAAGATAAGTGGTGAACTTTTAGTTAAACTACGTCAAGGTTATCGTTCTGTGGCCGATTGTGCGTTGGAATTCCGCACGCTAGCAGCAAGCAGTGGATGGAACAAAGCAGCTTTGCTTGTGATGTTTCGCCAGGGACTTAACCAGGAAGTTCTGACCGAACTGGCTTGTAGGGACGATGAGCTAACTTTAGACCAACTGATCACTCTCTCCATCCGCTTGGATCAGCTCATTCATGACCGACGTAAACAAAAGACTGATCAAGCAAGAGCGAAGACACCCCCTGATCCCACTGAGCACAAAGACGTGGAGGAACCCATGCAGTGTGATTCATCACGTCTGTCTAAGGAGGAGAGGTTCCAACGTATAAAAGAGAACCTGTGTTTGTACTGTGGCGGTGCTGGTCATCTCCTCCGTGACTGCAGGATCCGTCCACTCAAACATTTGGCGCCGACCCCTGGAAAGCACGTGGAGATTACTCCACGTGCTAATGTGGTGAGTGTTCCCACAAAGGGGTTGGTTTCTAAATCATTTCAATTACCAGTAGTTGTCTGCTGTCATCAGGTCTCTCTTGTGATTTCAGCCCTTATAGATTCTGGTGCAGAGGGGAACTTCATCCATTCTCGTCTTGTGGAACAGCTGGACATCCCTGTGGAGGACCTGAAAACCCCCTTGAGAGTGGCTGCCTTGGATGGAGGTCCTGTTAGAGTCGGAACGATCACAAAGAGAACAAAACCAGTGCAACTGGAGACCAGCGCTCTCCATCATGAACTTCTCTCCTTTTTGATTCTAGAAAACACTGAGTTCGAGATTATTCTGGGTCTGCCCTGGCTTGAGAAGCATAACCCCACCATATCTTGGCCTGAGCATGAGCTGCTGAAGTGGTCAGAAACCTGTTTACAGACTTGTATATCTTCCCCCTCAGTAACTGTCAGGTCCACCACCATAGAAAGCCCTAATGCTGAGGTTGCTATAGAAATTCCCCCTAAATATGAAGACCTCAAGGAGGTTTTCAACAAAAACAATGCCATTAAATTACCCCCTCATCGCCCCTATGACTGCACCATAGACCTGACAGAAAACCCAGTCCTTCCCAAGTCAAGAGTTTACCCTTTGACACAAGAAGAAGAACACATTATGGAGACACATATCCAGGAGGCCTTAGATCAGGGATTCATTAGACCCTCCACTTCACCTGCAGCTTCTGGATTCTTTTTCCTCAAGAAAAAGGATGGAAGTCTATGCCCGTGCATAGACTATAGAGGACTCAATCAAATCACCAAAACATACCTTTATCCTCTTCCACTGATCCCTATAGCACTAGAACTGTTGAGGGGAGCTAAATACTTTACCAAGCTAGACCTCAGAAGCGCTTACAACCTCATTCGAGTTAAAGAGGGAGATGAATGGAAAACTGCCTTTGTGACCACTAGAGGGCACTATGAGTACTTAGTGATGCCTTTTGGTCTCTCTATCGCCCCCTCTGTTTTCCAGGCCTTCATTAATGACGTCCTAAGGGACATGATAGGGAAGTACGTTATTGCCTATATTGATGATATTCTGGTTTACTCCCCTGACTTTGACACACACATTGAACATGTTCGTTCTGTTCTGAAGCGACTCCTGGACAATAATCTGTTTGTAAAGGGTGAGAAATGTGAGTTTCATCTGCAGTCTGTAGCTTTTCTGGGATACGTCATTAGTGCTAACGGGGTGGTTAGGGACGACCAAAAAGTAGACGCAGTAGTAAACTGGCCCTCTTCGACTTCTGTAAAGGAGCTACAAAGATTCTTGGGTTTTGCGAATTTCTATAGATGTTTTATTAGAGATTTTAGCAGACTTGCCGCTCCCCTTACTGCCCTCCTGAAAGGTAACCCGAAAAAACTCACTTGGACCGAACAAGCTGAGAGCGCCTTTTGTGCACTTAAAGAAGCTTTTACCACAGCTCCAGTTTTAAAACATCCTGATCCTTCTCAGCCTTTTGTCGTGGAAGTAGATGCTTCGGAGACTGGGATAGGGGCTGTCCTTTCCCAGCGTTCTGGTAACCCAGAGAAACTTCACCCTGTCGCATTTTATTCCCATAAACTTACTCCTACAGAGAGAAATTATGGAATTGGAGATCGTGAGTTATTAGCTGTGAAACTCGCACTAGAATAATGGAGGCACTGGTTAGAGGGTGTTAATCATCCCTTTGTGGTATTAACAGACCAAACCTAGAGTATCTTCGTAGTGCCAAACGTCTCAATGCTTGTCAAGCTCGATGGTCCCTGTTCTTTTCTCGGTTTCAGTTTAGTATCACTTACCGTCCAGGTTCTAGGAACACTAAAGCAGATGCCCTCTGAAGAATGTATCAGGGTGACAATAAGGATATAGATCAGTTTGAGCAAAAGCACATTCTTCCCCCTAACATTACCATTTCCTCTATTCGCTGGGAGGTTGATGTAGAGATCGAAAAGGCATTAGAAGGTACTCAAATTCCTAGCCAGTGTCCTCCTGAAAAGCTTTATGTCCCCAACCAGTTTCGTGACAAGTTGATTACCTGGGCCCATTCCTCTCTCACAGCTGGACACCCTTTGGGAACACGTAAACAGCGGCTTTTGTCTAATCGGTACTGGTGGGAAACCATGAACAAAGACGTTCACTCTTTTGTTGCTTCTTGTTCTGTATGTTTCCAATGTAAGACTCCTAAGATTTTGCCCGCTGGAAAACTATTTCCTTTACCAGTACCTAATCGACCCTGGTCTCACATTGCTATCGATTTTGTCACTGATCTGCCTGAATCACAAGGTTTTACCACGATTCTCACAGTTACTGACAGATTTTCACGCAGCGTCAGGTTCATTCCATTTAGTTCACTCCCCACTGCATTTCAAACTGCTGAGACTCTTTTCAATCAGGTGTTTCGTTATTTTGGTGTCCCTGAGGACATTTTATCCGATAGAGGCCCACAGTTTACATCGCAGGTTTGGTCTGCGTTCTTTGAACATGTGGGGGTCTCTATCAGCCTGACATCTGGATATCATCCTCAATCCAATGGTCAGTGTGAACGCGTTAATCAGGAATTGGGTAAATTCCTTCGACTGTTTTGCTATAATAATCCGACAGACTGGTCGCGATTCCTTCTGTGGGCTGAAATCGCCCAAAATTCACTCATCAGCTCTGCCACAGGATTAACCCCTTTCCAGTGCGTACTGGGATACCAACCCCCTGTAGCACCATGGACTGGCACTACGACAGATGTTCCTGCAGTGGACACCTGGATGCCACGGAGCGAGAGAGTTTGGGAAGAGACCCATCAGAGGATCGAAGCCGCTCTACAACGCAACAAAGAGCAAGCGGATCGTCACAGAGGAGAGACACCCATCTATCACCCTGGAGATCGCGTGTGGCTCTCAGCAAGAGACTTCAGGGCCTTTGAGGGAAGTAGGAAACTGCAGCCAAAGTATATTGGCCCATTTAAAGTACTTAAACGTATTAATGAAGTGACAGTTCAGTTCAGTGCGAGGTATTGCTTCTTTCTGGAGCTACTGAGCGTTTATTTCCTGTGTTGTGTTTTCCGGTTTTGACCTATCCTCTGTATTTTGACTCACCCGTTTTTGCCTGACCCCTTTTGGATTGTGTTTGCCTGTTGTTATGTTTGTGTGTCTTTACTTGCTGCCCTTTCTGGATTTGACCTGTGCCTGTTTCTTGACAAACAGTAAAGCCTTTTTTGTTCTTTTTATCTGAGAGCGTCTGAGTGGTTCTGTCACGTTACAGTTTTGAAGTAAATGTATGAAGTGAATGTATGAATGAAGTCTGTCACTACTGAAGCAAATATTTTCTGCAACTAAGTTTTGTGTTTTTAATAATAATAATAAAAATATTATGATTTTATGTGTGTACAATTGTTCAAAGCTTTGTTTGAAAGTCATGTACTGACAAGTGTTTTTGAGTTCCATGGAAACCGACACTACTGCAACATTTGGTAAAGCTTCAACAGTGTTGTGATTGTTTTGTTAGTGACAAAATGGAATGTTCAGTCATTTGTTTAAATAAAATAAACATAATTAAGGTACAGAGTGATTCAAATTAAAAGCATTTTAGTCTAAAGTCCAAGTCACTTTAAAGGCCAAAATGTGTTTTTAACTCTGATTTTGAACCAATTTGGTAGAATGATCCATACATAGTTGTGTTTAAAAGTTTGGGCAACCCTGGTCAAATTACATGTTTTGTGTGGTCTGTGCAAATGTTATGGCATGTTTCATTTTATGTTTTTTTTTTCTAACATGTTCAACTTAGCAAATAAATATTGAAGTGTGTTCCCTGTAGAGGATGTGGCAACAAAAACATGTAATTTGACTGAACTTTGCATACATCTGTATATATGAAAATCACAATTTGGTGGGTAGGTCTAACATAGGGGTGCTCAATCCTGGTCCTGGAGATCTACCACCCAGGATTGGGCACCCCGGTCTAAAAGATGCACAGAATTACCCGCACAGTTTTCAAATGCAACATGCATATACTTGGCTGACTCACAGTACTTGTCTAAAATTTGTCTGAAAATAATAGCACAGATCAGCAAAAATTATGAATTGACCAATATTCGCTCCTAACACACGGTCAGCAACTTTGATTGTACACTCCTATTAAGTGTACAATCAATATACAGACAGTTAGTGACTGTATATGAATCCTTAAAATCGAAGAGCTGTGAAGTATGTTTTTCAGTCAGTCAGTCAGCTGGCAGTTTTGCAAGGGCTGCTTCCCACATTCTTTGTCATGCTGGTTGAAGCCACAGGGAAATGGGTACAATGGGAAATGCACTGCAGATTGAACATTGTTCATGCTAACTCCACTTACCAAAGAATCCCAATCAATTCTTTGAGTGGCAGCCCAAATGCCCAGTAAAGGGCAGGGAAAGAGAGGAACAGGTGGGCATTTGGGGCTAATCTTGCCACAGATTGGTTCACTACAGCAAGTGTAGCCCATCCTCTCTGCAGGAGGAGGGAGCCATGGTGGATATAATGGTGTCACTTACGTACGGCCGACATACGCCCCCCTTCACCACATCTACCAGAGAACCCAACCCGTGTGTGCTGGTGTATCTGTTTGTGCTCAAGTAAGCTTAATTGGGTTCACTCTGATCAGAGTGCTGTGGGCCCCAAACAGCTTAAATCATGAGCTTAAGGCATGTTCTATCAAAGCTTTGATCAGAGACTCGTAACCTGGTGCTATGACTGTGATGACAGATGGGTGGTAAACATATTCTATTTAGGAGAGTATGACTGGTAACATAAGAGGCAAATTCACACTTTACAACATGAAAAAAACATGTTAAGGACCACAACTGAAATTTGAATAGGAAAGAAGCATACAATTTTCTTATAGAAATGTATTTTACAACATATTTTGGCAACTTTTACTTCATGTTGCACGCTGTAACATCCAAGTAAAGCAGCACCCTCTTCTTGCTGGGAGGCTGAACTTACACAAGTTGAAGTATGGGGTCTGTGGCGAGGTGGTGGGCGAGACAGGGAAGGCAGGGGTCAGGGGTTGTGCCTCACCAACACTGCTGAGGGTGGGGCTAACCGCTACTGGCTCCGCCTCCTCAAAGGCCTCCCTGTAGCTGTGCATGTGTCCCTGAAAAGGTGGACAGGGAAAAAAGAAGTTACAGACACACACAAGTTCATACAGACACACACATGGAACTCAGACTTACCATTTAAAATGATACACACACCATTTACTTTAATGGGCCTATATCATGAATAATTAAAATCTCCATCCTTTTATGAAATAAAGAGACTATGCAAACTAGGGCTACATGATATGGACATAAAATGCAAAGTTTGAGAAAACTGTTAAATGTTGCATTGACAATCTGAGAAAACACAAATTATGATAAAAATACAGACTCTGCTGCTTTTTAATGAAAATAGCAAAAAGCACCATACACTGTTCTGCAATGTGCAAAATAAAAAGTAGTGAAATACTGATATATCACTATATAACTGCAAGTACTGTATACTGTAAGGTTGTTAGAAAAACAGTTAGCGTTCCCTGAACAGTTTTTTGTATTTAAGCCACTTAATTAAATTAAAGTACATTGACTGAACATTCCATTTTGTTCACTACCAAATCCTTCTGAACTACCAAAACATTTTTAACACTAGCAAATCTTTGCTAGTCATTTTGAGCGTAGTTCAAAAATGCTAGCCAGTACATGACTCGCAAACACAGCTTTGAACAGCCTTGAAATACACATAAGACCATAATACTTTTATTAAAACACAAAAAGTGTACTTAATTGTAGAAAATGTGTATCGGTAGTGACAATTAATAATGTTACATAATGATTTTCAGATTTTGGACACATTTACTTCAAAACAATGGGATCTAACTGATCACCTTGTGGCCATGAGGGCAGGGATACAGTCTCACTTCTTGCATTTAAAAGCAGTATGGCTAAAATAAGGCTCCACCTATGGACTACAACTCTGTGGTTCAGTAGTGATAGGAAAACATAGGACACCATTTTTTAATTTAAAAATTAACAACAATAACAACATAAAAAAATGTAAGTATTGTTTTCACAAGTGTAAATTTGGGGGTCAGGGTTTGGGACAGCCACCTCCCAACAGAAAGCACCCTATAAATTATGATTTTGGATATATTTAGCTTATTACAATCTATTATTACTATACTAGCAGGTTTGTTGTTTGTTTTACTGCTTCACAAATGTTACACACATGAGAGTTAAGAGAGTAAGTAGTTTCGATAAGTGAGCAAGTGGATATGTTCCATATTTTGGATTGTAGTTCAAGAACATTGCTGTGCTGAGACAACTACTAACGTTACATTTCTGCCCATTTAGTTACATCACTTTCGTCACTCTCTATGCGTGAAGTAATTTGACCCGCTGTGTCATGCAGGTCTTCGCAATGTGTTCATCACAGAAACTTATATTGTGTTAACAATAAAATTAAAATTAATCGTGCAGCCCTAAAAACACTGGAAGGGTTTCAAAACATACAGTTTACCACCTTTCACTCTCATCCCATCTGGAACCACTCTGTGATGATTGTTATTTCACACCAGGTGCTACACACAAGTGTTGGAAGGTGAAAGTGAATTCTGTTTGCATTGCATTTTCAGGTAATAGAAATGTATTTGTTGTCTGTTTATTGCTTAAATAAACTTTAATGTAAATTATATAAAGATCAACAATAAATGCCTGACTTGCTGCCATGACTGTTGCTGGCCTTCTCACCATGATGTACAGCTATATCAAGAGAGGAAGAAGCATGTGGGTTCAGAAAATTAACCAAAACAAAGGATTTCTATCACTTTGTCAAAAAATTGATTTGTTTATTAGTCTAGATTATATGTTATGGAATAAACACTGCATTTCTGCCTAGACACTGCTAGAATGATGTGTGACACATGTCCAAAACAGACCCAAAGTATATTTTTGCGCTCCACACGTTACCGCAGTGGTGCCATGTGATACAAGCTGCTGGGAAAGGCTACGCTGATTAATATAGGAGTGTACTGCGTGCAGCATGGTGCAGCCGTCATGATACCGCATCTGGTGTGAAGTGGGTTTAAGGGGTAAAGAGAGGTTTGTGGTTATTTTGGTAATACAAACATTATTAGTGGACTTCATAAAAATAGAACAGAAGAATAATGTAAAATGTGCTTTTTACCAAAACACATAGTACAAGAAAGACTGACAGCACACATTCCTGAAATTGTACCTCTTTAGGCCATCCTCCAGGGTTCAGGGCAATGGTGTTGACAAATTCTGGTGAAACGCAGTGCCCTGGAGAATGTACCCCTCCGGCGTGAGCAGGTGTGTCCTCATGACTGTTGTGGTACTGGCCCTCACTAGTAGTGCGACGGCGAGAGCCGGACACAGCCACATCTGGAGTCACTGTATGTGAGCGTGATCCTGTCAGACAGGGAAGAAGGTTTTTCATACACTTTGAAATCTTCACTCTTCAAGGGGATAAACAGAAAATACAAGCTACCAAGACAGTGAAGTCAAGTCATTATCTAATGGAATGCATAATGCAGTGCACTATTTAGGGAATACTCAAGCTACGGCCTTTCGAAAATGAGTTTGACATCTTCACTGAGCCTAATTGATTAGCACAGCTGATGTGTTTTTGGCAAACGCAGGTGTGCAAACTGGATGTACTCACTATAATGATGTGATCTGGCAGAGCAGAGCTACAGAATCAATCTCTATTTGGCTGTGTTCCAAAGATAAGATCCTGACGAAGGCAAGGCACTTATTTTGATTTCCCTGAAGTGCTACTGTTACATATAATATTTAAGGCAGCTAAGCAAGGAAGCTGTTTGTAATAGCTGAGTGCTTCCTTAACAAACACAGACATAGGATTATACCATAAAATGGATCAATGCCATTGTCCTTCAAATACCAGTACATTGGTACTTCTGAAGCAGATCTCTTTTACATCTTCTTCTGAGATATACTAAATCTTTTTAAATGGTACCAGATGGAGATGGCTTTATTAGATTAAATGCTGGGTGTTAATTATGTATTCACCCAGCTGCTCCATGAGGACAATGACCTTAATAGACTGAACCTGATAAAAAGAAAAAAAGAGAAAAAGACAATGAGGAAAGGAGAGAGAGAGAGAGAAAGAGAGAGATAGGGCTAGGTCAATATCAGGGAAATTCCTGCCAACAAAGTTTCAGTATTTATTTGCTTTCTTTGCATTGTAACAAACAATTGATTGTTAAATGAATGCCATTGCAATACTAAGTCATTATCTAGAGACACTAAGTCATTCATTTGAGATGTTTTCGTATTTTGAGGACATTTCTTATGATAAATAATAAACACTTGTGTGTGTATATATATATATATATATATATATATATATATATATATATATATATATATATATATATATAAGGCATAGTGTTTTGTTTAATTAAAAAATATGTTGAAAAAAAATAAAAAGGTGCTGGACTTATTTTTATTTTATGTGGCAGGAATAGGCTTAAATAAAAACCTTCTTCTGATGCATATTGAAGGTGGTGAGTAGCTACTGAGAAGGGGATTTTTGTTGGCAGGCTGTTTTGATTTTTTTTTCCTGTGATGAGCACAGAAAGAAGGTAAATATCTTATTGTAGCTGCATAACTGTGGTAACTGTCTTCAAATGACTCATCAATGGAGGAACAAGATAAACAAGCAATTTCATTTTTTAGATTTTTTTTGTCTGAAAGGGTAAAAAACCTGTCTCTGGAACCCTTTTTGTGCTGAATAAAGACAGAATCGCTGTTTTCTTTACGGTTTTGTTAGATGACCAAGGTAAGACTTACACTAATGCTAGCTTGGTTGTATTTATTAGCCTATACCTCAGTGGCTAGGCTAGGAGTCAAGATTGTTTGACAACACAGAGATTTCCAATACCCAAAGTCTAAAATCTAAATATCTAAACTGTAAAAATGTTTGTTATTGGAATTTGCAAGAAAGCAAGAAAGATTCAAAGAAATCAAAAAAGTTATCAGAAGAAGTGAAGGAGAGCAGGGTGAGGTGGAGGACAGTGACAGAGGACAAACCAGAGAAGGAATAGGAGCGATGGCGTTCGGGCTGGTTGGACATGCTCTCGGAGATGCCCCGGATGCGAGCGTTGTACTCTGGGTGGGGACGTGATGGGGTGGGGTGAGGAAGAGGAGGAAGAGCAGGAGAGGAAAGATGCAGGTGGAGGTGCAAGAGCGTGAAGCGAGGTCCATAAAGCAGGTTGGATGGCCAGAGAAACAAAATGATGGGGACAAAAAGATAATGGTGAAACTGGTGGTCTAATATCCATATTCAACTCCATTAACATTGATAACATCCTTACGTATGTAAACCATAGTTATAGATTTATTCATATTCACCTGAGTCATCTGTCAGCTGTAGAGAAGTAAAGTGGTCACTAACGTCTTACTGACCAAAACAATGCTGTCTGTAAGTGGTCAGTGATGATTTTTATTATTTTGGCTCTATTCTCCAGCCACTCGTCTGGATTTGACATAAACCACTGATGAAAAGGTTACAGTGCAGAATGACAGCTTTAACTCTGGGTGATGCATATATGCAATCAGGCCTGTGACAATCATAAGAATTAAACTGACGATTGTCATTTATATTATTATGCACATTCTTACTAAAGTAAAAGCCTAAAGTCACAAAATCTGCTAATATCCATCTTGCTTCCTAACTGCCAAAAGCAGCTTCCAGCTGACAACAGAAACAGTTTGAGCTTAAATAAACAAACTTTACTCCCTGCTGCCCTCAATTAGCTTCCTTAGTCATGATCTGTGCAGCAAAATGCTTTGGAATTACTTTGGATTTAACAGGATGATTTGAGCTACTTAAAAGCTGAGACATAATTAACAAATGTATTTAGTTAGGTATTTAATTTAGGTGCTTTAGTTTAAGTTATGACATCATGTAACAGAAAGAAAGGATTCGATATGTACTTACATGATAGTGAAAATCAATACTAGAATAGAAGAAACATGGCACCATGTGCAGTGGGCAAAAACAGACAAACTTTGTGCGGTTTAAAGGTTTTTTTAGTCAGCCTGGTTTATAACATTGGATAACTAAATGTATCTGTAGACTGCATTACAAACGATTTACTTTTCCATCAAATTATAGTACCGGAGCTCAGCTCCATTTGCCGCTTACGCAAACCAAAGACACATTTTAACCCCTGGACATACGACTGTGAAAGCTAACAACTGTGGAAAATTATTGTCATTGCCTTGATTGGGGCCATTTTCAATTCTGGCTTCTTTCAGGGGTCTTTAGTCTAAATTTTATCTTCAATAACTGTCATTTATGCTGAATGGGCTTCAGGTTCACTTGGCCAGTCAGGAGTGTTCCACTTTTAGGCCCTGAAAAGCTGCACACTTGCTGTAGTCGTAGGTCACTGACCTATTGCACCATCACTCAGTTTGAGTTCTAAGGTATTACATTATGTCTGAGGAGTTAAAATGCACATTTCAGAATTCATCCAACTGCTGCTTTCTGCAGTCCCATCAAACAAGTGAACTGGTTCTACTGGCAGCTAAACATGTCCATGTCACAACATTTCAATGACAAAGTGATATACTCAAGAGTGGAGGTATCCAGTTCCAGTCCAGGCCCTCTCGGATCAGAACTAATGACATCTAGATCATTCTTTAGATTGTAAATAGTTTCTCCTTTTTCTCCATACTTTTCTCATTCTGTCACTCCGGTACAGGTCTTCATCTTATCTGTTAATCTGACTTTGTTCTAGAACTCTATTGGCTTTTTTGTATTTGCACAGTGTAATGTGGACTTTCAGTTCCTGAGGGTTACTAGTAGTTTGCTACTTATGTTAGAACAGGGGTGTCTAATCCATAAAGGTAGGTTTTCATTCCAATCAAGCAAGAGCCCACTTGATTCCACTTGTTCAACTAGTTAGTTTTTAACCAACTGACCATGTGTGCTCCTGCTTGGAATAAAATGGAAACCTGCAACCACATGGATAAGACTGGACACTCTTAACATGGGCTTCCATGGTCTGCCAGGTTGTTTGTTAACCATAACCTTTGCACAGGCCGCTTTTTTTCCACCAATATGTCAAATTCAGCAAATAAACAGTAATTGTGCATTAAATGTGCAGAAGTGTCTTCTCTGTAAAGGATGTGTGACCTTATTTTCACTTAGAAAATCAACAAAATGTCATTTGACCAGGGGTACTCAAACTTTTGCACATGACTGCTTGTGCATTAAAAGATGCATTAAACAGCTGCTGTGGAAACATCTGAACAGCCAATCATTCAGGTAATACTAGAGTTTGTACAAAAAGCACTGTGAGCTTTACATTGTTCATCCAATATAAATGTAAATATCCTTGATGTAAAGCTGACTTTCTGCACTTTAACTTTAAAGTTAACTTAAATTCGAATGTAATGTGCCATAAAACAGAGTGCTTAAAGCCTTTCAGAAGATGTTATCCTCAACCAGCAGTTCCATTTACAGCCACAGAGTGACACCATGGAGAATACTGCACTAAGAATGCAGGATCTCTGAATGCAGAGAATGTGTGGTAGCTGGAGCTCAGTAGAGCAAAGTCTATTCTTACCGCTCATGACTTATGTCCCAGCATGCTCACTTCTCTACATGTAAAACACAGCCAATCTCGTATGTGAGCAGAGTCACGGGTCACTCAGAATATTGTAGTTCTCCATTCCATGAAAACATATAACAACACTTTGACTGCTTGGCTGGCCTTAGTGAATAGACAATATTAGAAGGTCAATACTAGAACATGTTTTATACTAGACTTCTGCAGAGATGACATTCAAGAGCTAGGATATCAATGAACAGACAGACTCTTATGAGCCTAGACTGGGAGAAATTAGAAGGGGAAAACTAGAAGGGGAGAAATGTGGTGAGTCACTTGTATCACAATGCCAGAGAGAAAACTGTGTGGAAAAATGCTTTTGATGGGTTTGGCAATGGATGATTTTTCCACTGTCTATTAAAAGACATTCTCTGCGGCATCAGTAGTTCCAAAGGCATCTTCAAGTTGTCAACAATGGCCAAATTAGGCCGTGCACTGTCACCGCTGGCTGGTTTCAGCAATATAATCTCTCTAGTTTCTTACTTTGTACTTGGCTTTCTTGCAATTAAAAAGCAGGTGAAGTGAAAGAAACTACAGTTTTCCAATGTCTGCTGGAAAAGATTTCTGAGATCCTATTCTCTGATTTCATTATCATTATCTGTAATGGTATTTTTACTAATTATAGAGGCTTATTCTTTACCCGCCACACGATGTGCCACTAGTCCTTCAAGATTGAGACTTTCTTCCTCAGGCTCAGGCTCAGGTTCCTTAGCGGGTGTAACAGGGGGTAGAGGGGAGGAGGATGCGCTGTAGCTCTGTTGTGTAGCTGGATACGGGGAAGAACCCTGCAAGTCTGGAGAGTAGGACACCACCCCACCTCCTGGGTAAACGGTCTGGGGCTTGATCGGAGATGGCAAGGGCATAGTTGGAGATGGGGTAGTGACTGACCCTCCCCGTATGCTGTACGGGTCTTGCTGGTAGGTGGGTGAAGGAGAGTGGGCAGGCTGGTAAGGCCTCTGGTGGGAATCGGCTGGTGGGGTCATGGGACACGCAGGAGATGACCTATGAGAGGACTGGCCAAAGCTGGCTGAAGCAGAGAGAGGTTGTGTGCCAGCATAATTATGTATGGCCTGGTCAGCTTGGTAGGAGGGCCTGGCTAGAGTTTGGGAGAATGGCTGGAAGACTGAGCTGTTGTCTCCAGGTGGAGCACTCTGAGACTTGGGCACTGGCGTATGTGGCTCCAGGTCCAGCATGAGCATGTTGAGTGCCTCTATAGATTGCTCCACGTCCTGCTGTGAAGCCCCACCATGGGTAGGGAAGTGAGGAAGGCCAGCATTGGGGCCAAAGAAGGGGTCATCCATCAGGCCATACTGGTGCCAGGCACTTAGTCCCCGCTGCACTGCCTCTCTGCTGCTTGTGCTGCGCTCTGGAGCCTGTGGAAGATACCGAGGACCTCCGTCCAGCATTGGCGCACCATACGACTGCGAACGATACATCCCTCCGTTCTGCCCACTGTAGTCCACCAGACGCTCCTGTGCTGAAGACGAGCCTCTCATCTGGTGCACGGGCATCGCCTTATTGTTTATCACTGGCCTTCTGTCTGAGAGACCACCCTGCCGCCTGTCGATATCAACTACAGTCGACTCAGTCTGAGCCTGGCTGTCTGCCGGAGTATCCCGGCCTTCGAAGGAAGAGAGAGTCCCGAGGCTGTCGGCGCTGTTGTCCCCTACTTGGCTGTCAGCTAACTCGTCGTCAAGGATGTCAGTCTCTCGCTCAGTGCCAGTTTGGCCATTTACATGGACCTGTGCAGGCACAAGGTGGCGCACACCACCTCCAGGGCTTGTATTTGCCGCTGGAAGGAAGTCCTGACGAGGAAGGAGTGGTGGGCCCTCTAGCCCACTCAGCAGCTGCTCGAGCTCCCGTTTCTCACGGGGGCTGATGGGGACGTCAGGTGCAGGGTGGCTTACGGGGCCAGATGAGGACAGAGATTGCTGGGCTTCATCTGTGCGGTCGGTCTTTACAGAGGCAGTGGAGTTGCCTGAGTCGCTGCTCACTGACAAGGCATGGTCGGCTGGGAGTGGGTGATTGGCTACAGGGAGAGGAAGAGCGTGGCTAGCTGCAGGGACGGCTTGTTTAACTGCAGGAGGAGCACGCTCACTAGTTGGGAGACCATTGACAACACCCTCAAGCGAGTCTTTTTTGCGCACACGAGCGTAGAGGCTGCCGTCGAGTGGCCCTTGAGTATGAGCAACATCTGAAAGAAAGGCAATAAATCTTTATCAAAAAGATTTCCAAATACCAAACATACATGCACATATATATGTAACTAAACATATGCCTATAAAGTAAAAATATACACATCCTGTTTGGTCTTTTTGAACATTGTATGGCATCTTTGTACATTAATTTTCACATTAAGCTAATGGAAGAGTTCAGCATGGGTGGAAAGTCATTGTGGGGTTAGCCCTAGGACACGTTTCTTTTTTTGCTGCCTGCCTTGTGTGTATCTGCTTTTGCCAGCAGAAGTGAAGCAAGCAAGTGCACCTTGGCCTTAAAAAAGTAACACCCTCTGTTTGGGAGCCTCCTTGGCCATCTGCTAAGGTGCTATAAGATCAGTAATAGATGATAAATCTCCACAGCAGGGTAACATGTGCTCCATGCAGGGGGGGTAGCTGGACTGAGGACACATGGTAAAGTACTCTAGCCTATTTTAGCCCTCTTGGTCGTTTCACTTTCAAAAACATTGGCAGTAAAAGAATGCATGCTTTACCTGCCCTCAACTTGTCCCTTATGTGTTATTCTAGCACCATTCCAAATTATGATCCAGCTTTGGCAATATACTGAATATATAACTATGCAGTTCTGAGCATTATATTTCATAAATAAACATTTATAGTCTTCAGCCTTTTTGTCAGCTGGTATAGTAGTACATGTGTTTAATGCCATATTTATCTATTAGTTTAAACAGATTGTGTTACTGTCATCATCAGACAAACATAACTTAAAGCTTTTGTCTTTAGATACAGGACAAAAAACAAGCTCCACTCCTGCTTTAGAGAAATAAAATACAGGTGTTTCTGTTCATCCTTCCACAGTGAGAAGACAACTCAATGCTATGGATCTGAAGGGATGTGTAGCTGTCAAGATGCTGTTACTAAGAAAAATAAACAAAAACAAAAGAAGCTGCTGGATCATAAGAAGCAGAAAATACAACGAATGTCTACAAACGACCAGTGGATATCTGGAATAACATCCCTGCAGATTTCTTTGGAAAACTGAAAGGAAGTCTCCTGAAAGAAATGGACGCTGTAATGAAGGCAAAAGGTTAACATGCTAGATACTAAAAAATTATATATATTATTTTTAGATGTTGAATATTTTCTGTTATATTTACGTTTTCTGTTTTTTTAATGACACTCTAAAAAATAATAAACTTATATTTAATGATTGTTTTGACTGTAAATCAAATGAGAAAGTAAAGAAAGTGGGAACTATATTCTGCACAGTACTGTACATATTCAATACATGGATTTTAGCATGTTCTATTTGACTATGGAGGCCTAAGAGTATATGATAAATGATGCCTTTATCCTGAAAGAAAATGTAAAAAAAAATTTAATAATTGTCAATTTATGGAAGTTGTTAATTTGGCACTGGCACCGGCAGACGTGCGACGAGCAATGAACATCTGTGCTTCTATCTAAGAAGGCAGTATGTCCAAAGTATTTAGTGACTGGAACTTCAAAAAAACTCATTGTAGTCATTGTGTAGTGCAAATCACCTGGAAGTGCAGCAAGGCAAACCTTCAGACCTGCTCACTAATGATGCAACTAGTCCCACTGGGAAATGATGCCAATCCTGGCATCTGACCTTGTACTATGGTGTGGGTGTGTGTTTGTCAAGGAGGGGGAAATGCACTTTACAGTGCAACAGAAGGTCTACGTGTCATACGCTTCCCACTGAGAGATATGTTGCAATATGTGACAAGGACTACGCAGGATACAGGCTGGATCTCTGTGTTTACAGAGAGCTTTTAATGTGTTTACAAGCATTTACATAAAAAGGATCACAGGTTAAAACTCATACATACAATACATGCTCCCCAAACATGCATTTCTCTTTGTCTAATTTGAACACAGCAGATGGGTTTCAGCAATAATGATTAGTGGCATGCAGAGTGTGCTCCACCTTTAAGCGGTGGGCCCTCATGGTGCCAGTGCTAAAGTACTGAAGGCCTGCGTAGAACAGCTCTGTGGAGCTTCCAGTATTTTGGAAGACATCACATCTGATGAAGTCAGTTAAGAGTCTTGTCCTGGGTCACCTCAGAACACATGTGCGCGGCATTGGACCCCTTTCAGTTTGCAACTTTCGGTCGCATGTGTGAGGTGGAGGATGTTGTGATCTACCTGTTGCACAGAGCTCAATCACACCTGGAGACAGCAGGGCGCACTGTGTGTCATGTTCTTTGACTTCTCTAGTGCCTCCAACACCATCCAGCCCCTCCTGTTGAGGGACAAGCTGAGAGCAGCGCAGGTGGACACTGCTCTGGTATCCTGGATCAACTATCTGACCGGCCCCAGTATGTGTGGCTACAGAACTGTCAGGGAAGATAGTAAGCAGTACAGATGCGCCAGAAGGGGACTGTTCTTGCTCCCATTTTTCACTTTTGACACCTCTGATTTCATGACTCTGAGACATGTCACCTACAAAAGTTCTCAGATGACACTGTTATGTGGAATGGATTAAGGAGGGGAGGGAGGAGGAGTACAGGAGCCTAGTGGACAGCTTTGTGGACTGGTGTCAGCACAACCATCTCCAACTAAACAGCAGAAGTTCATAAGAATGTTCTTAAATACAATTCCCCAAAAAAATTAAGAAGTTCTCAAATATTTTTGAATCTTAATTATTTCCTAAAAGATTTTCTTATTTAGGCCATGTTGCATTTTATAGGTTACCAGTTTGTATTAACTGTTATGTTATTTAGTTTAATCCAGTTAGAGGACAGCAAAATGTTGGAAAACATCAAACTAAGCGTTAAAAAACTTTTTGCAAAAAAAACTGGAGGTGATGGTGGAAGAAATAGCCAACAGAAAAAAAATCCTGCTTGGAAAATACAATAGCTGTGGGGTGACAGTGGGCAGGAGTAGCAGAGGAAATAATACATTTAGATGCTTACCTTGACAACTCTTACATCTTAAGACAGGGGTAAGGTTATTGTAAGGTTAAGAAAACATCTAAGAATATAATGTTTTCAGGAATACCACTTGTTCTTAGAATTATTCTTAACAAAATAGCTAAGAAAGTTATTTGAAGAATAACAATCTTTCATATTTTTTTTAAAAAAAGCACACATTTAAGAAGATTTTCTTCCTTTCGCAGGTCATTCCTTTCTGCAGCCATCAGACTGTACAACTCTTCACTCTCATTCGTCAGTTACTCATGCATCATTGTACATCTATGTATCATCTGCACTGCACTTTATTACTGCTTATTCTGCACCGGTCATGCTCTTTTGCACAATACTATATTTATATACAACAGTATACTATATATACACAACAGTTCTGCTTCATGTACTTTATTTATTACTGCACAATAATACTGAACTGTAAACTACATCATCTGTGGATTACTGTTACTGTAACACTGCAACAGTAACTGTGACTTTTATTGTAGCAGTACTGGTAACTTCAATTTTTTATAGACAAGTGCAAGTTTTGGATTTTGTATATATATTTATATTGTATGGTTATAGCTATAGCCCTGTGATGGACTGACGACCTGCCCAGAGTGTATCCTGCCTTCTGCCCAATGATTGCTGGGATAGGCTCCAGCAGCCTCCGCAACCCAGAAGGATAAGCGGCTTAGAAAATGTGTGTGTGTATGTGTGGTTATAGTTGTAGTTATATTGTATAGTATTATTTCATGCTATACAGTTCCTTATACTATTCTACTGTTTTTACCTTACTTACGTATATTCTATGTTGGTCTGGTATGTATGCTGTTGGAACACTAATCTCATGCTGCCTAAGATTTCACAGACATGATGTTAATAAAGAGTGTTAGATTGTTAATTACTGCCAGGATTTCACATTATTTAACACTTGTGAAAACAATAAGGTGTTCCATCATTTTTTATCAAAAGTGGGTGAAATAGCCTAAACAGATGTTGTCACCATCAAAACATAATGAAATTAAATTCAACAAAGAAATTAGTAACTAAATATGAATGGCTAAAATGTAACTGAGTAAAAACAGATTCCTTTACTACTAATATACTTGAGTAGAAGTAAAAGGAAGAACACAAATCCATCAGTATTTTATTTAAGTACCTGTACATAAATAAAGTACACTACCTAGTAGCTAGAAAGTATTCCTCTTAACAGTCAACTCATCTTAGCACATATTCAGTAATAACATGGCAAATTACTGCTAAGTTGACATTGAGCTGTACTATTATGGGATGTACTAATATGGGATGTAACAGCAACTAAGAGTTAAAATGCATAAACAATTAAATAAAAACATTCTTTTATTCCAACAATTATGGCTGGATTTTCTTCTTCTGGCTGTTTAAAAGCTAGAACAGGGGGCATTGCAAAATAATTGAATTGTTTATTGGTATTACCAGGTCTGAATATTTTGTCAAGTTTGTGCAAATTATAAGCAGACTTAAACTGTAAAATGTGTATTTCCTTTTAAAAATGCTTACTTGAGATCTTCTGTGCATGTTTAGTGCATAACATTGTGAACAAATATGTTCACTAATTTTTATTTTTTTATTTTCTAAAACATATTTAAAGGTTGGGGGAAATAATATTTTTGTTCATATGTAAAATTACAGTACATTATTGGCTACTGAGATACAGGAGATTGCTGTATTTTAATTTCAGCTTGTTACTGTAAGTACAACAGCATCTTGTGGTCCAAGTGACTTAAGTCACTGTATAAATTAGCTATATTACTGTCATTTTCTGTGAATAGGGTACAGTAAATTACTGTGAAAGTAATGAAAATAATAGACAGTAATTTACTGTAATTTTACAGCATTTTTTTAACTGTTTAAAAAGTTACATTTAGCAAATAAACAGTAAATGTAGATTCTCTGTAGAAAGTGTGTACCTAATTGTAATTTAACCAGGGGCACTCAAACTGCATTTAACACTCATTAGATGTGTACTACACATGTTTGGTGACTCTTTTCTAAACCTTATCCAGCAGCCTAAATAGCTTGTCTGACGTGAATGTGCATGT